CAGCTTTCTCCTGCCAATGAGGATGGCTTGCAGAAAGATGCTAGCACTGCAGTGATTCACGCAGTCACCCTGAATTGAAAACTACAGGAAATGTAGACTACCAGAAGCTGAATTCTGCTCACTGGGCAGTAGCTATGCTTCCCTTGAGTAAACATGTGGCTTTAACAGTCACAGCTTCACATTTTTAGTAACATGTCTGTATGTTTAGAGTCTCTGTATGCATAGAAGAAATAAAAACTACAAACTATAAGGTGTAAGAACTCATGTCAGTAAATATGGGCAGTGAATTTCTCTTAATTGCCACACTGCAGCTACAGAATCTTTTTTTCTGAAATACATAATCAGATGGAGACTAATCAGGTGTTGCAGCCACATGAGTAAATTTAACAATACCTCTACACATGTCCAGACATTGAAATGTGACTGTATGTGCTATCCTGATTTGTGCAGTTCCTGGTGTGTGTCTGTCCCAAGGTGACTAATGTGCTTCCCCAGATTCCCAAGTGTAGTCCAGTAACCATTCCCAGAAGGCCGTTTAGTATTGCAACCCTGTTTTAGGTGCTAAGGACATCTGATAGTATGGACTCTGTGCCATTTGACCTCAGCATTAGAAGCTTTCCCAGGCATGTTTAAATTACTTAATATTATCAGTGTATAACTGGCCCTTAACTGTACTGGTAGGAATAGAAAATACTCCGTGCTTACATTACAGAATAAGTGAATGTTATAGACAGAACTTTAGTGTTTGCATTTCTCGATGTCTATGCTTAAAAACACCTTTGCATCTGTGAGATAGAAATGTTGATAAAAATTGCTGTTAATTCCCTGACATTTCTCCTCTCTCTTCCCAAAAAGTAAGAAGGGAAGGAATGATCTATATACTGGCTTCTGTGCTGATTTTGCTATTGCATATCTGTAATCTGTGTAAATTGCCATAGCTTCATTGCAATAATTGGTCTGAGACTGGCTTACATTAACTGGGGACTGGACCACTGTTCTTCACCATGCTGTGCTAAGTGAAGACAGGAGCCCCTCAGATTACTGAATGTATAAAACATGTGTGTAACTGACCTCGAGAGCTCACCTTCCTTAAAAGAAAATCCCAGCCATCCTGAAATGAATTACTGGTTAACTACTATTAATATGCCATAGAGCTGGAGAGTCGTCTACAACACTGCAAGATCAATAACAGTATTTATTGTGCATTATATTGATCTTCTATGAAAGAGTGAGCCATATTTCACACTGTGTACATAGTGCAAAAAAAGTAGCATTGGTTCTCTACATAGAAAAGAACTTAGAGATCCAAGGGCACAACTGCATGAAGGGATACTGTTGTCTCCTGTGAGAGCATTGCTCACAGATGGAGAGCCTCTGACGGCCCTACATTGTGGATTTGGTGTGCCAAAAATGGAGTGAGAATTTTAACCACTCTTATTTGGTTTTCTCCCCTATTTTTTGTTAGTTCTTGTACAGGTTCATTCCCATAGTTTCAATTATATCTTGTTTGCAGCTTGCGGAATGTTAGAATTTGTGGCTAGTGGCAGAGGAAAGACCCAGGAGCCCTTCCTAGTTTTTTCCATGTAGAAGGTGAAGACAGATGAAGCATGAGCTCAACTCCTGCAGCAGCCCTCTTCTTTTAAAGGGCAGGTGGTGGTGCAGAGAGGGAGTCTGATGGCGCTGCGGCAGTTACTGTGTTGAGAGCTTAATTCGTCTTGAATATCACTCCTCTTAGAGCAGTGAACCTCGGGGCTGCCCCTTATGTGCAGGTGTTGTAATGGAGCAAGCTCTGAGGCAGCAGAGCCATTCAGCTGAGTTGAATTAAATTTGTGGTGGAAAAAAAACACCACCACAGCTGAACACTGCTTTCTTAACCTTGCTGTCAGAAAACACATCCATTGGCTGACATCCTCCCTTGAGAAGGACACCTTGCTCGTTGAGTGGCTGGTGGCAAGTCTGTGGGAAAGTTCAGCCTGGACGTAGGAGTGAAGAATTACAGGTACAGGCCAAAGACAGACCAGAGGAACCCCAACGAGTTAAAGCTTAGTTACATACAGCCTTGCTTCCAATATATCTTCCTTGTTTTGCAAACACTGGCTGTGCTTGAGGATGCCACAGCCCAGAAGCAGCATGCTTGCCCACCAGCTGGCTAGCAGACTTCAGCTGGAGAGAGCTGGCAATCGTGCTCTTTGTCAAGTGTGACCAGTCCTTCCATCTTCAGAAGCATAATGTGGCTTGGGATTTAGGGAGATTAACTCTTCTGGACATCTTTCCAGTTCTGTCGCAGGAGTTCTGTGTGGAGTTGGATGAGTCTGTGCCTTCACTCGAACTTGTTGCTTTCCCTTGGCTCCTTATTTTTTCTGCTGATCTGCTAGGGCACATCTTGTCATGTGGCCACAGCTCAGAGGCGTTGTGTGCTAGGGTTATTACTAGGACCATGGATTCCATCTTTCTGTATTTATTAAAGACAAAAGCCCCTGCTTCCTGACAACTGGGGATTTATGCACATAGGTGCATGAATGACTGAATGGGCAGGTGACTGGCTCCACAGACTCAGCATTGAGTCTTGAGAGGGCATCTGAGAGGCTGTGGCAGAGCAGAGGGACAGCAGAAGAAAAACAGAGAACTATTCTGGTGGATTCATTAACAGCCCTGAGCACTGAACTGCTGGCTGCTATTGTGCAGATAGAGAATGGAAAAAAGAGGTGGTAGCAAGTCAACCCTGTTGCACCTCTGGTGGCAAATGGTGGTAACCCAAATCACAGATAGGGGGTAGAAAGACAAAAGCAGAAATAGCATGGGTTTTTACCTCCTGCTTGATGCAACAGGAGACTGTCACCACAGCTCTTTCCTCAGGAAGAATCTGAAGCACTACCTGCCACTGGAACATCACAGAGACATCAAGGATACTACTGTGATTTTTGTGGATAGCTATGGGCAGGTCTCTGTTCCAGCATAGCCCATCTTGTCACAGGTTAGGAAATGTGCTCAAGGCCTTTCCAAAAGTTGCAGCAAAGCCTGCTGCTTTCTCTCTGTGTAGCTGCTGACACCGCAGTATAGCTGATCTTTAGGTGTAAAGAGGCCCCATCTTCTGGTGCTAACATTCTTAGGGGAAAGATGTATCCCTTCTTAGGATGCACTGCAAGCTTTATTTCGAAGCTAAGTCTGGCGAGGACAGTCAGCCTTGTGCTGTGATTTATCAGAATTGTTGGCTTTTCAGTACCAGTGGTCTAAGTTTTGATTTCATTGAAAGCATGGATAAAAGGAGTTGGGAGGCCTGCCAAGGATCAGAATAATAGCAATAATAAAAATTCATAAAAATATGAAAGTGCAAAAACTATAAAGGGTCCTTTGTGGTATTGCAGACTTCTCTGTTCTGTGTGCAAATTTGTGAGGAACTCCTGATGACAAAGGCTGGCTGTCCTAGTTCTTGCTCACTTAGGGCTGAGGAGCAGAAAAATCAGATGCAGAAGATTTTAAACACTTCATTTGCTAATAAATGGGGAAAGTTCGTTGATGTCAACAAAATGTCATCAAGAGCTGAATGGTGGCACTATATAATTTAGTGACCCGGAAGGAGACTATGCATGATTGCTGAAAGCTTTTGTTGCAGCTGAAGAAGGGAAGCAGAATTGCATTGTAAATGGCAATAATTGGTAGAACCAATGTGTAGCCAATACGCAATACAGTGGGAGTTGTTACACAACTCTGAGGGGCTGGTGATTACCACCATATTAATAACCAAGGTACAGATACACCAAGAGAAGGACACAAAACAAACTAGGCAATGCTTGCTGGACATCTCTCTTAGACCTGTTATTTCATACATGCCTGTTGTCCATGCTGCTTTTAGCCACATGCTTTTCTCCACCATGGCAGTTAGACAGAATCATGGGAAGAGTAGCAGCACCTTGCAGAAGGGATCATTATACTACAGACACTCTAAGGGTTGATGGAGGGCAGGGCTGCAGGCATGCAAGCTGGAACCAGGGCTGTGTTAATGTTGGAATTTACATTTGCTCCCTTGTTAATATGTAAATGTGTATTCACTGTGTGGTTACTTTCTAAGGTTGTGACAGTTTTTTGTTTGGCTTGAGCAGGTAGCTGATGTAGAGCATCAGAGAGCTTGGCCGTGAAATGAGCAGCTTCCTTTTCCAATCCCTGCAAATATTGCAAAGCAGTGGTTAGTGATAGAGTGAGAAAAAACGGGACCTAAAATATCCTCTGAGAAGCCTCTTCATCTTAGGGAACAACAGGGAGGCAGACCTTTGCACAGACAACCAATGGAGAGTGCAGCCAGCTGGCCTCTGGTCTGGAGCACTCCAGAGTGCAGGCAGCAAGTCATGAGCAGTTGCCTCTTCTTTTGCCAATGGTGTGAGAACTTGCTCTGCCCTCTGTAGGTAAACAGGAGCTAAATTTGGGTTTGGAGGCTGGGAAGGATTGAGGGTCCCGCTGCTCAGATTTAGCATGTTGATTTCTGAGAGGCCTTGGCTGATCATGCAGTGCTGTCCCTACGGCAGTTTCTGTTGGACTTGTGGCTCTTAGCCTGTTCCAGAAACATGTTCAGAAAGTGTCCTCTCACCTGCAGGACACTTGCTGGAGAGTGGTCGTCCTGTAGCTAGAGCCTTTTTGCTTCCAGGGAGTTAAAGACTTGGCACACTTGTACAAGTTAAAAATGTTACGGGGTTGCATCCTTAGGTGGTGTAAATCGTTAGGTCAACTAATGCTGCTTGAGGACTCTGAGCGTTGTCTTAACATGCAGTTGGTTTGTCTCCTGTTTTGCAGTCTGCAGTATGTGTAGGTGGTAGTCTTTGGACTTTCAGCTGACGTCAGTCTACTTGAGTTTCCACCAGCATCCAGCTGTGTTTCTGTTTCAGCTATCAACTCTTTCCTACTATCTGTCCAGCCTTCAGGAGAGGTAGCAGCTCATCAGAAGGTGAAAGACAGTGGTCTTCATGGAGCCTCCTGTTTCATAAGGTCTTGTTTTTTTTCTTTTCCAGAGGGACGGATGCTCATTCAGGACATCTCTTCCATCCCCAGCAGGGGGCACTTGGAGAGCACGTCTGATTTGGTCGTGGACTCCACCTACTACAGCAGTTTTTACCAGCCATCTCTGTATCCTTACTATAACAACCTGTACAACTACTCCCAATACCAAATGGCCGTGGCCAGTGAGCCTTCTTCAAGTGAAATGGGGGGTACGATTGTAGGGTCAGCCGTGAAAAACAGCCTTCGAAGCCTCCCAGCAACATACATGCCAAGCCAGTCGGGAAAACAGTGGCAGGTATGATGTTACAGAGGTGTTACACAGAATCATGAGGTGGACAGTAAGGTCTTTCTTGGGCCTGATTCTGACTTCCTGTTTACTGATCTCATGACAGTGCATAACTAGAACCAGATTCCAGGATGGGATTAGGGCCCATGTTAGGAGAATTAGCCAGAACGGGTGGTTATGATGCAGTCGGGAAAACAGTGGCAGGTATGATGTTACAGAGGTGTTACACAGAATCATGAGGTGGACAGTAAGGTCTTTCTTGGGCCTGATTCTGACTTCCTGTTTACTGATCTCATGACAGTGCATAACTAGAACCAGATTCCAGGATGGGATTAGGGCCCATGTTAGGAGAATTAGCCAGAACGGGTGGTTATGATGCAGCGCAACGAAAGCAATGATGCAAGTACAAGTAGGTTGCTGCAAGCAGAGATAAGGGGCACCCACTTGATTTTATATTCGGTTACATCATAGTAGGTTTGGGGCTTTTTTCCAGAAGAGGAGTCCAGCTGAATTACCCAGCATCATATCCTGGGAGTTTCAGGTGTCATTTCTGACAGGCATCAGGAATCTGTTCTGTTTCTACTTTTCACATCCAAGGTGCTGAAGTGACCCAGGAGTCCATGCTGTTGCACAGTGGGTTGGTGGCAGTCAGTTTAATGTAACCTGGCGAGTTGCTAATGGTGTGTTTTAGCAGCTGCAGGGCTCCAGGGCTTGCAATTTCCACTTGGGTAGCTGAAGTTACAGGCTGTGCCTAAAAGTTGTCACCTGACCTCTGTTCTTCGTTAGTTTGGGTATAAAGCCAGCAGAGCACTCTCACTCTGGGACTTGATAATTGTAGCCTGCTACTCAGCATTGTCAAAGACTGGAAAAAGGGGAAGTCTGCCAAGGCAGAGGATTCTTGGCATAGTAAGTGGAACTACTTCAGTGACCTTGAGACTGCTTGGTCCTGGGCTGCAGTGGTGGTTTTCTGTCTGAGATTGAACCTGGGAGGCTGCACCCTTTGAGTCTGCATACATCCGTGTCCCTTGTCCAAGGGCAGACCTCTTCTGTAGAGTATTAAGGGAGGGCAGGCTGCCTTCTGCAAAGACTCTGTTGTGAAACCACTCAACTGTGAAAGATAAAACATCCACCAAAACCTCCTTTCTAAAGGGAACAGATGGGTCGTCCCCCTTTGCTGACAAAGAATTCCTCTAGCAATTCTGGCACAGGAACCAGCTCTGAAAGGGCATTTTAGCTTCTTCTACCAAGGTGCGGAACTAAGACCAGGATGATTACAATTGCTGTAGCAGTCCACATCATCCTCAGTGAGGCTTTACTATGATTTAGACACTTATTTCATGGCAAGGTTCTGAAAATGGAGGGGCCTCCTGGGGCAACAGCTGGCCAGTCCATGAATTTTAAAATCATGGCTTTACAGCAGTCTTCATTTCGTACTATTCCTTGTCCCTTTTTCACCATGAGTACAGCTGCACTGGCGAAGGAGCTGTCTCCCTTTCTTCTGCTGTGCTGCCTACAGCACAAGAGCTTTTCTTCTGTTGGTCTGTTGATAGGCTTCACCCAAATAACCTTCAAATACATGGAGGTGCACATTTTCACTTAGGTTAATTGATAGCATCTTCTCTTGCTACTGAATTTGATCACCAGACTAGAGAGAGAGTTAGTCAGTGCATACTGGGCACAGGATTTGTGCATGGTAATGTGGTGAGGTGCCAGTGCATTTTTAGCTTTTTCATTTTGGTTGATTGAGATAACTTGATACATCATAACAAAGTATTTCAGGTAGTTAGTTATTCTGAAGGTTTTATAGTACCTAGTTTGTATGAGCCTGCTTGCTGAGCTTGGAGATACCATAACAACACAAACAAGGGGCAGCATATTTGTCTTGTGAGAATAATGTTCTTGCAAGGAGCTGGTCCCACACTTCACCATTCCTCCAGCCAGTGGAGACTTCTGTGATTTTATTTGCTTGAGAAAAAGGAAAGTAAATTGGAGGTGAGGACTACGCTAGTGCATAGAATTTGAGGAAGAGACACATGAAGTTACAATGAACTATGTTAGACCTTGCAGTGAAGATTGATGATCTCTGAGAGGAGTGTCCTCTCATTTCTGTACTGTCATTTGAAACTGGACAGTATATGCATGAAGTCTTAGTCTTGCGTGTCCATTGTCTCACTGTGAAATTTCCTGTTTCTGGTGGGACCTTTGACACCCCTTAAGGAAAGAAAAGCAGTAGAGTGTTTGCCATGTATTTTTATCTTGGGGCCCAGCAGAATCTAAAAGTATCTTCTGATTTAAATGCCACTCAGTTTGTGGGATACTGAAGAGGTAATTAAGGAAAAAAGAGGTAATGGTTGTCAAAAAGTACCATTTTTCTTCCAGGCTCCAAGTTCTGCATGTTCATTTCCACCTTGTGGCATGTATCGCATGGTTCCATTCACCTCCATGGGAATTTAATTATTTACCTCACCTAAGATTTTAACTTTCCCTAGCTAATCCTTTTGGCATCTCTCAGTGCTGTTCTGGCAAGATGCCTGTGAAGAGAAACTAGAGTTGGTGCTTTCTGCCTGCAGAGGTGACATCTCCCCAGCTTCTAAAAGGCCTAAAACCAGGACCCAACTCTCCTGGTCAGCAGGGCACAGTGTAGTTCAAGGTCAGTGTCATGCAGCTTACCAGCTGTTTCTCAGAGGCTGATCTGCAAGAGGATTGTTATTGCTGGAGGAGTTATGAATCATGGGGGTTGCATACTGTTACGACAGCATAATATTGCACAAATAAAAAGTTTTAGTGGGAGCTAGGCTAGATAATGCTTGATGGTAGTGGGTGCAGTGATGCTGAGGTTGTAAAACACTGTGCAGCGTGGAAGATGGTTTGTTGTAAGGGGAACAAGTTCTCAGCTGCTACATGTGGTTAACATCGATTCTGCAAGTGGAAGGTCCTGTCATAACAAGGAAAAGCTAAGAGATCTGGGGCTGTTTAGTCTTGAGAAGACAAAGAGGGGACTTCATTAATGTTTACAAATGTCTGAAGGGTGGATGTCAAGAATGGGCCAGTATCTTTTCTGTCATGCCTTGTGATAGGATGAGGGGAAATGGCATCAAGTTACAACACAGGAAGTTTCACCTTAACATGAGGAAAAACTTTTTTAGTATGAGCATGATGAAGCACTGGAATAGGCTTTCCAGAGAGGCTGTAGAGTCTCCTCTGGAGACTTTGAATACCCTTCTGGGCACATTCCTGTGTGATCTGCCTTAAGTGTTCCTGCTGCAGCAAGGGGGTTGAACTTCAGAGGTCACTTCCAACCCCTACGATTCTGCTATTCTAAGGTTACCAACAAGGGAAGATCACAGTCTTAAATGGAGAAGGATGAACAAGTTCTCAGTCAGACATAGTAAGGAGTTAAGAGTTTCAAAGCATGATCCATAAAGAGGAATCAGACGTTGCTTACACCTTCAGGGGGTTTTGCTGGCAATGCTATGCAGGCTGATTCTCTCTAGAGGAAAAACACTGCTGTATCTACACAGGGATACTTGCTGGGCTGCCTGTACTGACTGTTGTTTTTTTTTTACATGCACAGGCTTTTTTAACCAGTCTTCCAGTACAAGTGAATCTGTTCATTGACTGGTAGTGCTGTAACTGTTTTGATCAAGGTTTCTGATTTATTTTTTTTTTCTTTACCAGAATGATAGCTGTGCAATGCCAGCTGTGACCAAATCAGAGCAGCTTGCAAAGCTGTGAGCCCATAGGATGGTTTCTCTGTTGGTAGAAGCCTGGAAGCTGCCCTAGTTTAAGCAGTGTAGACAAGAGCCCTCCCTTTTCCAGGCTCTGTTGGTGGAGGCTCGTTTGTCCTGGAATAACTGTAACCACACAAGGAAAATTGCATACCGAAAGATAACTTCTGGATGCCGGCAAGGCCTTGAGCAGCCCAGCTGTCTGCTGTTTCAGAATTTAAGGAGCAAGGGAGAAAAGCCAGGGAGGAAACATGTGAGTCTGTGTGGGATGTGATGAGGATTAATGCATCATTGAGCCTTGGCAAATAAACTGAATAGGTGAATCTCTAATGTAGATTAATGTCAGATTTCATTAGTCTTTGTTCTTTGCAGAGGCTTGCGTACTTGAGTGGATTCATAGAAGTGCACATTGTATAGATATTTCTGTGTAGGTTTTGTTAATTTGTATATAATTATCCCAGAAGCTGTATCTGTCATTATTTGATAAGCGTAATGAAGATGATGATTTTGTTTAAGACCACTTCAGTCATTTATATTCTGCTGATTTTGCAAGCTTTAAGGCACATAATCAGATGTGACTAGGATTGCAAATTAAGAAAAGGCAAGCTTATGTCAGAAGGGAATGTAGCAGATGTGGTGGTTACTGTGCATCTCCTTTCACTCTAGTTCTGTGTGGGCATCTGGACCCTCCTTTTGAGTTCTCGTAATTGTTCATTACAACAAGAATTTATGTGCATTCAATTCAATTAACAGTTAAATGAGTTCACCAACATCAGTACTGCAAGTCAGAGCATGTTGGTGTTCAGTGGAAGTCGGTGCTTCTGAAACCAGTCTCATTGTGACCCACTTGGGGACAGCAACTGGAAAATGTTGAGGTGACTGCAGTCTTTTCTACCATGGCAACAGTAAAACCAGGATGGACACATCAGAATCTAATTAGATTTAATTCCCCAAGCTGGCAGTGAAACAGTTGGCTTGTGAGCCACAGTGTAAGGAAATGGCTCCCTGTGAGTTGGCATCCTCCCCAGCTATTGTTAAAACTTTTCTGGTTCCTACAGCCAGACTAATCTACAGGATGGAGAATGGACCTGTACACCTAAGGACCAGTTGCAGCACTGTCGTGTGTTACTCCAGGGATCCTGCTTCAGAGAAAGATGCTCTGAGGTGTTTTTTGCTTTCCTTCTTTCCTTTTTCTTTTTTTTTCTAAGCTTGACAAATCAGTATACTGACATCCAAACCTCAATATTTTGTCCTTTGCTTAAACCAGTTCAGACCGAAAACCTGAAATAAGTGTTGGTGAAAGTCAGACTGAGAAATTCTAACACATTTTCTAATATGGGAATGGTATTTACCATTTGCTGAGGAAGGAAACTGTTTTTGAAGGATTTCTTCAGAAGTAGGAAACATACAAAACTGTCTTTAACTAAATCCAGGAAAGTTTGGCCATCATAGGACAGCTAGCACTTGAACTCTTAAGAATAGCTGCTCGCTAGTAAAATAGATTGCTTTTTTCAACTTTCACAACCTGTTTCTAGATTCTGGCACAGTTTTTCCTCCAATAAGCCTGGCCTTCATACAGAAATGTGCGGTCTAACTCTACTAAAATAGATGTAAAACGTGTAACATATATGTGCATATGTGTGTAAATGTATACACATTGTGCATTCGCAATCCTAATTTTATGTGTAAGCAGTGTGTTATATATTGTATTCATAACATACCCTTCACAATACAGATTTATGCTAAAAGTATCCTAATGTTTCTGACAGCTCATGTGTGACATGAATGCAATCCATATTTCTTGGAGGAGCTAATCTAAGCTGTTTGTTTTCCGATACTGCTGATAGGGCTATATCTCTAGGTGTCACTGCAGTTGAGATTCTGATGGTAACATATTGTTTATGGGTCACTGCCTTTGTCTAAAAGAATAGGTTGGAACAGAATAGCAAAGGTTAATTAAGTTTGTCTATCAAGAAGGGACAGATATAGATGTCTCTTGTATTTTCTTTGCTAGAATCAAAGTAAGTCAAGGCAGGATATCATAGACTCAATTTTCCCTTCTGCTGGAAAATATGCTTAGCTGGTTTTAGGAACGAAACAAAACCACCTTGGGCAATGCCAATGCAGCAGTAGTTGTGAGGGGTCAGCTCATGGCCAATAGCATTGCAGAGTGGGAAAGTAACAGCAACCCTGTTTTACAGCTGGGGAAACTCTTAAATGAGGAAGGTGTTAAATAACTTGACCATGGTCACGTAGCCCACAGGTGACAGTGGGGAGATACCTGGTGTCTGGATTTCTACGCCAGTACCTAGTGGGTGCCTTCTAGCCTCATGCCAAAAACCAACCTGTGAATTCTGCTGTTTGCAAACACATAAATGCAAAATGCTATTTTTGTATACAACCCCTAAATCTGGCTTTATTTTTAAGACCAAGGCAGAAGGGGGAGGCTATGTTAAAACTTGTAATGGCATTTCTCTGGTGTTTCCATAAATAATAGAATTATCTAGGTGATGTTTTGTCTGAATAAATAATCTCTGAAGGGCCAGATTTTCTAGTTTCTGAGGCTGGAAGGAGAAATTACTCACTGCCTGTGCCTGCCTTAGTGATCTGGCCACCTTCTTGGTTCTTTCTCAGTGAAGATATGTAGAGGTTATGCAGGTGCTGGCAGGAGCTTGAAAGGAGGAGCTGGACATTATGTTGCTCTCCTGTCAGCAGTTGAGAAAGCTTTTTTGCAAGACTGGTCTGAACTGAAGCAAGAGAATTTTCTTCATTCTTCCTTGGCTTTTAGTACATGTTCTGCCACTGTTGGGCACTGCTGCAGGGCTGCACTGATTGTGCTTGGTGACGGACGGATCCTACTTCCAGCTTGCATGTTTTTGGACAAGCTGTAGCAGCTCAGGTGTTCAATTTAGGAGCTCAGCTTGCTCTTTGCCCTTCCCTTCCACAGCACTTCCTCACCTAAAACATGCTTTGCTCTTGCTGTGGTGATGCAAACCAGAATGGCTTCTGGGACTGTCCCAGCTCTTGCCTGTCTTGGTCTCACTGTAGGGCTGGAAGGAGTGGAAGGGGTGAGGGAGGCAGGAGAAGCCACCAGAGAGTCAGGTATCTCCTCCTGTGATCCCTTCATGACCCCAGCATTCCCCCAGAACAGGACCCAGGGAAGGATCCCAAACCTGGTACATGACTGCGGTGTTCAAGGCCAGACTGTCCCAGGTTAGAAATAATCTGAATATTCCAGGTTTGGGTTTGTTTTTCCCCCTCCCTTTCTGGCACCTGAAAGTGTGCAAAGACTCTCCAGAGGTGTAGGAGTTAATACAGAGCAAATGCCCCTTCTCATGGGGTAATGATCTCCTAAGCCCCCTTTTTAATGCAGTGCTAAGGTCAAGAATTTTTATGATTCGTTGTTTTTTTATTGTTACTGTAAAATGGGATTGCTAAGCACTGTAAAAAGGAAATGTTATGGTTCAGATTTATTGCAGTGTGTATTCTAAACAGTTTAATAAAACAAAACCAAAAGCTTTTAGATTTTCTCCAGTGGTTAATGCATAGCATATACTTTGCAGGGCCAAGCCTCTGGCTGTTGGTCAAACTGTGGTTCATAGACTTGGTGTGGGTACTAAGATTATAAGACATGTCACTTGCTAGCTGTGCACTAATAATAATAGTAGTAATAATGCATTGCATCCAGAGATTTTAGGCAAGTTGTTTTTTTGGTTTTTTTTAAATAAACTGAGAAAAAAACAAAAACAAAAATGTTTGAAAGGAAACGGGTCACTACATCCACTCTGCTGGGAGAGGAAACGTGCGTGCCAGTGTCTCAGTGCCAGGGAGGGATCCCTCCATTTTGTAACAGGTGGAAGAAGGCTGTCTCCTGCAGGTGACATTTTCTTAGTGGTACTTGTGCAGGGGAGAGGTGGAGATGTGGAGACAAGTGTGTGCTGCCCACAGGCCTGTCCCAACCAAGAGAAGGAAGGCGTTGTGTGGAAAATGGCAGGTAGAGAGGTGTTTGCTAAGTTTTTTCCCTACTGCTTCCAGACCTATTGAGCTTTGCAGATGTGCAGATTGAAAATGGCCTTTGCACTGAGCTTTTGTGCAATTTGGGTTGCCGATCCGTAATTTCAGGGCAGAGGCAGCTTGGGTTTTGCTGAGGGCGTCTGTGCAAAAGTACAGATGACTGTTTCCAAGAGGAGACTGCCCTTATTTAGAGCAGCAAAAGGGATGCAGGTGGCTCTTTTGAGTTCAGACTTTTTTGGGGAAGGAAAAAAAATTACGTTTTTTTAAGATCAGTGTACTGGTTTTCATGGATGAAACTTTGGTGCATGTTGAAACTTTCTCTGCACACATAGGGTGCAAATGGTACAAAAATCACCTTTTGAATATTGCTTTAATTTAAAATAGGAAGACTTTTACAGACTAAAAGGATGTTCTGCAGATCCCTCGATACATGTGCAAATATATGCAACTGTGCTGCTGTCAGAAAACAGGCACAGATGCACTTTGCTTCCTGTATACAGTCACTCCTCACTCTCGGCACTTAATCTCAGTGCAGGCCAAGCTCAACATGGAAAACAGGATGTTGCCTTCTGTCTCGGAGAGCACCAGCAAGGTTTTATGTGACTTGTATCACATTGTTTCCAGCTAGGCATAATAAAATGAATATTGAATTATTCAGTGGACCCCTGGAAAACAAAGAATGACTGCATTCTGGCTGCCTCTCCAAGAGGTACTGGTGGCGCCTTCTGCCAGCACCAGACCCTGGTCTGCTGGCATGGGGCAGCTGCCATGGGACAGCAGGTTCAACCCTTGCCTACAGTGCTCCATGAGCCCAAGCTTCACAGGCTGGGAAGTGCTTGAGTGTTGTTGGCTGGGACTCAAGGGAATCACAGTGGAGCAGGTAGAGCTTTTCTAATCAATGCAAGATGCAGCTGAAAGGGCTGTCAAGCACATCTGCTTGCAAAGATGACATCTCGTGGCATGGGTAGACATGCATTACTGTTGGCACTGCTACCATTATACGTAGTATGAAACTGTGATACTTTCTTCACCTGGAAGCTTTCCATCTTAGTGTTATTTGGTGCTAGCAGACTTAGGGAGACCAGGTAGTGTTTCCTTTTCTGTTGAAAATCCTGATCTTGTGAAGTGTTTGGCTGCATAATTTTGAGCACTGTAGTGAATTGATGTTGTAGGACTTTGGGGCAAATAATAGTAGATGGTAGTTCTTTCATAAAACAAAAAATTTTAAAAAGTGTTACCACCTCTGATTAGATCAGTTTGGATGATTTCAGGCATTGGAGCACAATAAAGTTTGTTTCCTGAGTGCTGCCAAGTTAGCTGCAGGCTGTGGGAGGGAGAAGAAGTTGTCTGGTGAACACATTGCAGACATAGCAGACTTAGTGGCTGGTGTCCAGCTCTGGCTCCACTATGGGCTTCCCATGTAGTCTGTCCACAACTTGGTTTCTCTGGATAAATCAGGAAAATATTTTTTCAACTTTCTGGTTGGTAAGAAAGAATGTGTGTGTGTCACTGCTCAAATGCCATGCAGCATGTTCCAAATGAGCAGTCCTCCTTAGCCACCTTGTAGGTAGGTCCCTGTCAGAGCAGTTGCCACCAGCCTGAGATGGGTTAGTCTTTGAGGAGGGGTAGGGAGTGGATGGATGTTTCAGCTCTGACAGTGGCTGGGTGCATGCAGTTGAAGTGCTCTGGAAAGCTTCCTGTGGTGTTGTCTGTGCCGTAAGCAGGGGTCTTGCCAGGAAGCTCTTTGTAGTGAGGGGTATGTGCTTGTGTGCCAGATACAGCTTCACCTCAGGTAAGGTAAGCAAGCCATTGGTATGCCAGTGCTGCTGCTGGGTCACATCCCGTACCACACCAGCTTACCTGTAGCTGAGTGACGTGGGCATGCCTGAACCAACCGAAGCAAAAACCCAAGATCAGCGTGTTAGAATTTTACTTCCCGTGCCCCCCCTGTGGCCTCCTTCAGAGCCAGGTGCAGGGAGCAGCGGGCTGCCCGCATGGTGCTGGGGCTCAGCTTTCACAGGCTGCTGTTGCGCTTCTCTCTCTGGCAGGTGAAGGGCATGGAGAGCCGCCACACCGTCAGCTCCCAGTACCACATGTGCTCCTACTACCCAGCCGCCTCCTACCTGGGACAGGGGGTTGGCACTCCCACGTGCCTCCCCCAGGTCATGACTTCTGATGACATCCCCTCCTACTCGGAGTCAAAAGCGAGAGGTAAGTGCACCATGAGGGTATCTGGGACTGCCTTGCCTTGGGACAGGCACCCAGGTGATGTGGATTGCTGCAGGGAAAGGAGGAAGGCATCAGAAGGTAGGTGTTAACAAGATGGTGGCTGTTTTCTGGTGGCCTTGTAGTTTGGTGGCAGTGGAGGGCTGTTACTGTACAGAATGGCAAGCCTGAACTTCAAAAGTCTTGTGGTTCAGGAGCACAATTAGTCATAACTTTCTGTTCCCGTGTATGTCTCTGGAGTTAGACCTGGGGTGCTGTCTTTGGTGCTCACTGCCTGTCTCCTTCAGAGGAACAAAGAATTATCTTTGCCCCAACCACAGATTTATCTTTCCTCTCTTGTGTTTTTTCTCAGAAATATCATCCATTATTTTTTCCACAGGCCTTCCACTGGGTCTTTGCTGTCCTCTTCTTTCTGAACCACATGGGGAAACTCTTCCTGTGTCAGAACCATGTCTGGAAGCCCATTGCAGACATGCTTCATTGTTTGCTTTCAAACTCCTCACACCATGTTACTTCATTTAAAACTATGGCAGTTAAATTTTTCTTTTCATATCCAGTGCTTCTTGGCTGTCCTAAGCATTACCAAAATCTGATAATTTCCGGGAGAGTGTTTGTGAAATTACCCTGTGGTTTTGTCAAAGTTTCTTTCACTTCCTTGTTCCCTTGCTCGGATAGCAGGTAGAGCACACACATAGGTCTTAACGGGACCCTGCTGCAGTAGACCAACTCTATGGAGCTGCTTCCCTGCCTTTGGAGTGGGACAGTAACTGGCGCTAGAGAAACAAAAAGCAGAGAGAGTAGGGTGATCCTGCGTGGTATGTCCAAAATCCTTATGCCCCTGCAGCATTCAAAGGTGTCCTGAGCTGTTGATGGCCTCTGAACCATTGTTTCAGTTACCAGCAGCAGACCTGCACTCCATGAATTGAGCTAATCTTTCCATAAGCTTTTTGCACTTTTTGTCTCTCTGGCTTTCAATTAATTAGCAGTTTAATTTTGTATGATCTGTGGGAAGTATATATTTGTATTTACTTTACACCTGCCAATTTTCTGTAGGTTTTGTTTTGGTTTTTGTGGGGTTTTTTTAGAGAGTCACTGCCAACAGTATTCCATCCTCATTTGCTTGTCTGATGCACTTACACATTGAAGTTAATCTTCTCTTTATATCTGATGTCAGGATGTATGTTGCATAGGTTCCATAATTGTTTGCAGTCATGGCCTTTCTGTGGCCAGTGTTCTGGTATCTGTTGAATTTGTGTTGTGGTGAAAAATACAGTGCTTATATAATGGCAGAACCTTAGGGACTTAAATTTTGGAAGGTGAGGTGTGTATAACATCGTATATGTGGCTGGTGTAAATTTGTACTGAGCCCTTGAATTCAGTAACTCGAGAATTACTTATGCTGAGGAGGTTGCTGCTCCTTCAGAGTGGCTGTTTTCTGAAAGTCTTCCAACTATTGTGCCATGTCAGACAGATGAAGAAACAAATAATGGTATGATGAAACCTTAGACTTTTCCTTCATCTCCAGTGTTTTAAATGGCTTAGAGAAATCAGTGATCCTTGGTTCATTTTCCATCTCTTTTCTTCAGTTTTATTTTCCTCCCTCTTCTCTGACCACGACTGAACAGTGACGTCTTCCTTTCTGCCTATTGGTTGGAGAAGCAGTTGGTTTTATGTTCAACCACAGTTAACACTTTTTCTTGCATCCATCACTACTAACTCACTAAGAACTCTAACCAGTCGAGTGTTCTTACAAATAGACAAAAGACCTTCTACCCTTTGTTCCCAAATGCACTTCTGTAATTTTTCATCACTCCAGAAAAAAGGTGTGCGCAATGTGCCACTGATTTTTAAACTGCATAAATACTGTATTTTCAATAATCCCTGACTGCTTCTCCAGACAGTATTCCACACACAGATATTGTTCCCTAAGTTATACCATCAATCAGCTACCGACAAGCAGTAAGATGTAATTTACTGAGATCAAACAGCATTTTCCAGACTCTGAAGAAGTGTTTTTCCATAGCAGGGAGCTAGTGGGTGAAAGAGGCACCAGTATTTTTGTGAGAAGCTTGAACATGCAAGCAGGACCATACCCATTTAATGGGCTTGTAGAAGCATCTTCTTTTTCATCATGTGTGTTCTTGGAGGAGATGCTGCTTTTACTTTTTCCATCTACAGACAAAGTAATGTTCCCAGGGTGTTAACTGATTATTTACACTCCCATGATTTCTTTTTTTCTGGTGCTTTCCACAGTCCTCAGAGGGTTTGAAGTTCTTTGCTTCTTTATTTTCATCTTTGTGAGTGCTGAGTGCAGACTGTGGCCAGTGGATCCTGGGTAATAAAGTGGATGGTCCATTTACCCCAGAGTACTGACTGCTCATGCTTTCAAGTGCTGTCCCATTCAAAAGACACATTCTTACATGTTTCTCCATTGGTTGCTGGACTGAGCTTTCTGTGCAATCCCAGTCACTGTGTATGAAGCCCAGTGATATGTCTCTGCAGTGGTTGCTGTTTGCTAAAGGCAACTCTAGTGCACGTTTTAAATAAAAAAATAGTATTTTACTCCTTCCTTCTCTGCAGTTGAAGTGGTAACCGTGCTCAGAGACTTGTTTTCTTTCTAGGGACTTGTTTTGTTTCTGTGTTCATAGATTTTAGGTCCAGAAGGGAACATTAGGATCATCTCATCTTACTTGCTATATATAATACTGACTGTAAAACTTCACGTAATAACTCATGCAGCAAGCCCATAACTAATTTTGTTAAGATCTATGTGAAGATTTATGTGTTGTTAATCCAGAAATCTTACAGAAAGCTAATAGTGTGTGTAGAAGAGCAACAGGTCAAAATAAAAAACTCATTCTGCAGCCGAACTTTCAAAACATCAGAAATATGTACCTTTAACAAAAATGGTTATTAAATTTCCAAGCACAAATCTGAGATAGCCTTAGAACACACGCAGTCTATTACCCACACTTCAGTTGTAACTTCAGCTTTATAGAGGTTTTGACAGTTCATGTATTACCTCAGTTATTATTTCAGTCAGACTATTTAATTAATTCCGTTCTGCTAAGTTAACTGCCTGCTTAGACCAGTTATATTGAAAGGGAGGAGAGATGAGCTAGCAGATCAACAATTTACAGTTTTTATGAATGATGCGAAGTTCTCAGGAAGCTTTTGACATTTGTACATGAGGTCATACCGTGTTACAGTGTGTTGCATGTAGTAATGGGCTGACATTTTCTGAATGGCAAAACACCATCAGTCAACCTCCTTGCAATCTGAAGTGGTTCTAAGTAAAATGGGTTTGCTTCCAACTAAGCTCAGCTGCTGCCCTTCTAGCTGAAACTGGATAAAAATTGAGAGAAAATGAAGATAAAACAGTGACAAATGGCAAAAGGATGTTTTTGGAGGGCTCTGTTAGATCACCAGGTTGTAAATTGTATATAATAATTTCTAGATGGGAGAAGGATTTTGTACCCTGTGCTTTCAAAATATTTTTCCTCTCCTTTTTTCTTCAAGAGCAATGAAGGGAAAAGGTGTATGAAAGGTTGTTACCAGTCCCTGCACATGCAAAGCATACTTTAAAACATGTATTTCTTTTGGAGGATTTTGAATGGCCAAGTGTCTTATTGCCATTGATTTCTGTGGGAGTAATGCTCCAGAGCCACAGATAGCCCTGGCTGTAGGATGAGAGAGGACAAGGAGTCCTGGCAGGCAAAAGGTCTTTGAGACCATTTCCTTGAACGTGAACGGCTTTCTGCAAGTATTCAGGGTACACAGAAGGCACTGCAACAAAGCAGGCTGTTTTGGTGTGGCAAAGAAATTACCCCAAAGAGTGGAATAAAACCCTGAATCTATTTACGGTTTATTCACAGCCAGCTGGCAGGCAGAGCTATGCTAATAAAGAACATAAGATAAGTGGGGTGCCTCTGTGAGTAGAAGATAGCCCAGTTTTTGTCCATCAGTGTAAGCTGAAGAGTAGCTGTTGCAGCGTCTTGCGATCTGGGTGTTGTCAAGCCGGAGAGGTACCACTTCTGTTCCTTTTCTATGCACCTCTTCATCAGAGCACCACTAGAAATACCTCTTGAATTTTGAGGAGTTTCAGCAGCAGAGGGGGCACGTGGGAAGCATATAAATTTGCTTCTAGAACTGATCCAGTTCAGCAATGCATAGTTTCTGTGTTTTTTTGTGTGTGTCTGTGCATCTTTTGTTTAAAAAGTGACCTCTCTTCAAATCACACGCTGTCTGTAGTGAAAAAGGAGCAAGCAGTATTTGCTGAAACTCGTGGTATTTTCTACTATCCATCTTAAACAAAACTTTCACTGGTAAATTTTGAAATAAGACAAAAGAAGAAACAAAGGGATAATAATATAAATCTGGAGAACTTGAACAGTCAGTTGAGGTGGGTCACTTAATATTTGCACAACTGTTTCTCTTTTTTTATGCATTTTCATTGCTGCTACTGACAGTCCCAGATGGCTATGGTGTGTGCAGCTTTCCTTAGGCACTTAATACAAGGATGGCAAACAGATTTTGAACTGTTTCTCCAAGCCTTAGTTTACACTGCTGGTTGTGCATGTGAATTTCAAAACTTTACAAACCTTTTTATGCAGATGCCCTTTAGCATGCCAATTTAATTTTCAATAAGAAGATTAATTTTGGGCTTAACTAATGAGATAGTTGTTGAGTTTGGGGATTTTTGTGGATCTTTTAAACCAAGCAAGTTGCTAACCCTGATTTTTTTACATTCTTGCTTCATCATTTCATTAGCTTGAACAGCGCCTATCAAAATACATTTGACAATGTGAGGCATATTCAGTATAGGCTCTGGCAACTCATTCATCTGTATTTGTTCTAGCCTTTTTGTAAGTTACTGGTCTGTGCTCTAAATGAGGCTGGGTTGGTAAAGATGTGACCAATATTAAAATAACTTTATATAATGTCTGATTGCTAGTGAAGGGAATCCCTGAAAAGAAATTAATGTA